TTCTTGTCAATTTTTTTTTTATTGTGAAAATGTAGTATTTTTGGGTTTTCTTATAGATAAATCCACATCTTGTGACATAAATCCAGTTAACTAGTATATTCCATCCATAAGATAGATATTTCAAAAAGGAGGAACCTTTATTACACCCTATTATCTACCCTATTAATGAAGATTCAAATCTACCCCATGCCAAAATAATCAATAATAATCATAATATAAATTTTAATAATTATAAATAATGTATGTACATTAAATGTATTACTAGGCAACAATATTTTGAATAGGTATATTTAATTCTAAACTTATTATTTTGAATTTTAGTTTCCAAAATGTTCTTATGGAAACACCTATTTTTTTTTTAAAAAAGCCGGAAAATCACTATGATATTTGATATGATTAATTTGGAATTTATTATATTTACCCATTATAGGTCAATTTTTTGTTTAATACCATAGATATGTATATAATATGTCTTATACCTAGACTCACATACCGTCTCCGCTCAGAATCGTTTTTCTTATACAATGATATTATATCGTTGAATTCAAATTTAATATCATCCATTATACAGTGACCCACTTGTAACCTACTGTACAGCAGAGCGACACCCACTTGCCCACCTTTTTTTTAATTGGTCTTAAGTATTGCCAGTATTAAGTCTTTGTGATATTATTATTAATGTATTAACTATTAATAAATTATTTAAATTAAATCTAAAAATGTTTGGTTTATAATATAAAATATTTAATGTGTGATTGAGGATTTCAGGATTTGTTTTAAATACATTATTTACCTATGTAGTTATAATGTAATTTAGAACTCCTGGGCTCCCACAAGATTTCTTTCAGTGGGGAGCTGGGGCCCAGCATTTTGAAAAAAAAATATTAGTACAATTATTTAGATACAATAGTGTGGGTATATATAAATTTATATTTAAGTACTAACTTAGTATTATTAGGTATACAATATTTATAATATATTAGATTATTACAAGGAAAATATAAAGATTCTTTTTTGTAATAACTCTAATAGTCAATATATTATATTGGCCGGCTGAAAATTGTTTTGTCCTTCCTATAGTTGTTCGCATTTCTTTCAAAAGTTTAAAATGACTCCTCTGCAATACCTTAAGATTTAAGACCGTTTTTGTAGATAATTATCTCCTAGGTACATAATTTTTGTATGAAACTTTTATCCAACAACAAAATGAATAGTTATATACTTACAAGAATGTAGTTTCGTGACCCTATGGCCTCAAATAATATTTTACGCGTATATTATAATAATATTGATGAGGATATTACACACATTGATTATAACGGCATAATAATAATAAGTGTATACTGAAATTCAGGTTGATGATAATTTTTTAGAGTTAATGCCTATTTTTTGTTTAATTTGACTGGGCCATACTGCCTACTAGCCAACTGTAGGTACTATTGGCCATGGGTTTTTAATTCAGTTAGAATTTATTCATACTTTGTAAATACTAAATGCGTAGCTATACATTGCATAAAATCTAAGATAGGACAATAAAGTTTCTAGAAAACATTTTTTTGTTTTTTATGTAATGATTTCATATTAACATTTCTATATTATGTACCAGATATCATTGATTATAAATACCTACTTCTTACTAGTACTATAGTACCTATTTATAATCATTAATCAATGCTACTAAGTAGTTTGTAACAAGCAACGGACACCACATTATGAAAGTCTAATAATATTATACAAAAAAAAAGTACAAATACCAAATTATAGACATCTTTGCTAGCGGCCCAACACTTATGAGTTGGCACCGGCCCACTGTGCTATAGAATTGTGACACACCAGGCCAGTCCGCTACTGAGCAAGCATGATTGATGCTCACTCTATACCTATATTATATTTGTTTACAAATAATATTTTCTAAATGTACGGTTTGGCCATGGATTATTTGAAGGTAATTTGGTAATAAAACAAATAACAATTTTATATTCCTAGTAAGGCAATTTCACTAAATTTAGTCTTAAAAGTCAAAACAAAAAACCTATTAAGAATTTGTTTTAAAGTATAGAATTTACCAACTATTTTGGAGGTTTTCACAAGTAAGTAATTATGATATAAATTTATAACCTATACCTAACTAATAATTATTATATTATCATAATATTATATTTGTATGTTACATTGTTATACATATATCATGGCCATTCACAAATTATATCTAAATAGTATATACTGAAATAAATCTTTAGTTTTATTGTTTACTAAACTTGTATTTAAAATAATTTGTTTTAATGCTTACCAATCAATCTTATTCTTAAACAATTTAGTGGTCTTACGTAATTACTAAAAAATTAATTCATGCTTTTACCCTTTATAATGTTAGATGTTTGTATGGCGACTTCACACCAAAAAGTAAAACATTTTAAAAACAAAATAGCTTGATGCTTACATCAAAACATTGTCTTACTCATAATATACTGGCTAATTGATTTTTTTTTCATAATGTTATGTAATTTAGGTATTTAAAAAAAAATTGATTTTTTATGTTAGATATGTAGTGTGTACATAGATGTGTAGTGTGTACACAGCATAATTAGTAATTCAGTATCCAGTAATTCTATTTTTTTATAGTTATATGAGTACATAGCTTTTCAAACTGAACAATAGTAATTTCATGATTCCTTATCATGTTGTTTTTACATAACTAGGTATTTATTAATATTATATACAATTTTTTTTTTTAATTGAATTCTATTAACAGTATTTTTTTGCAGCGTTATTAGTTGAGAATTTATGGTGATTCCTTAAAAATGTTTCTATTTGTTTGAGTTAATTTTTTACCAATTGTCTAATTATACATCATTAAAATAATTAGATTATAGATACTATGGTATGCTTTTTGAACAAGCAAGAGTATCTACTGATAATAAATAATTACGAAATTTAGGTAAATGTCTAATTAAAAAGAAGTAGGTACCTTGAACTTTAGGCAAACTTTGTATCTCTTTAGTATAGTATATATGATTCAATTTACATAGTTTTATAAATAGTTTTTGAAATTAGATTAAGTATAATAATATAAGGTACATACCATAATTTTAATATCGGAAATGTAATAGCACCTACACATATATGGTAAAATTGTTGAGCAAGTTAAAATACTTTAAAGAAATTAGTGATACATAACAATAATTATTAAATAGTATAAATACAATAATTTATATTCATCATTATTATTTATAAATCCTAAATGTTGAACATTATAATATATCTGAAAAAATGTTTGTTAGAATCCCTTTTAAGATTTATATAGGCAATATATTATTCAGTATTGGAGTAACCGCCATATCAGAAAGTGAAAACTGAAAAGTGGCAAAATTAATATTATACGGGAGCCATGGAGGCATGGACAATAACTATAGATCAGTGTTACTCAAATTACCTACGGGCCATATATTTTTTCAAAAAAAAATTCGCGGGTCACATTTTAAGTGTAATTTTTATACTTATACACTAGAAACTAAAGACAAAATCAAGGCAAAAATACATACAAAATCCATTTATTTACTTATTATTACTACAAAATTATCATTGAAAAAATATAATGAACATTAACTTAAAAAAAAAAAAATATTACAACACTGATCACAGTCAAGCTGTTAGCCTGTTACCCACTATTACACCGAAGTACCTACAAATTATATTTATCTTTGTAGATAAGATTTGATTTTATCGAGTATAATGGGATCTCCGAACAAGTAAATAAAATAAAACATGAACGTTAGATAATATTATTACCTACTTAATATTTTATTAACAATTTTAACAATTCTTTTTATATTTTTGTTCAAAATGTATTTTTATTGCGGGCCACATAGAAAGGGCCGTATGTTTGAGACCACTGCTATAGATCATAGACCCATAACCTATAGAAAGGAATCACCAGACGGGTTTGTCGAGGGAGCAAGAGAGGTTTTGGGCCGTTACAGTGTACTAAAATATTATGTAGCCCAAAACATGTTTTTTTTCCCTCATAATATGCTCATATGTTATGTTTTCTCTCTCAGTTATGTCGTCTGGATTAACCGACGGTGCGGGAAGCGCTGTAAATATTAATTATTCTAGTTTATAGAACTAAAAAAAACAACGGGAACGAACATGAAATTATAGATATTTCATCACAAATATACATATTTATACATTTTATGATAAAACCTCTGCTAGAATGAGAGGTAATGATAAAAAATATAGTCTTTCTTTCTTCCACATTCCGGCACAATTCCCTTTATATTGTTATTATAGGCATGGCCTATCCATTCTTCAATATCGATGTAGACAACAATGTTGTAAATTAATATTAATTATTATTGTATAAAGATTTTCAAGGAAGAAATTCGAATGTATCGATACGAATCGTTTCAATATAATATACCAGCGAAACGAACCGATCCGTACATATCAGACTCTGATTTCTATACGTATCGAACTTTTCTTCTTGAAAATCTTGCATATATCTACGACGGGGAGCTATCTTCACAGTTCACGCACATAGTTGAATTTAAATCAAATTATAAGTATTTAATTATTTATTATGTTATAATATTTATCCACTGATATATCAGCAGCTGTGTATCAATCACCATGAAATACTGTTATCTCACATTATCGTTCTTGATAATGTGGTGTTTATCTATGAATTGGTACAAACGATCATAATCCGTAAAAAAAAATACTTTAAAGTATTAAAACGTGTATTAGTCATTTTTCTTGTTCGGCCTATTAGTTGCCAATAAATATAAATTGTTATAGCAATTGTGTATTTCAATTTATTTTCTACATATTTAAATAACTTATTAGATTGATATATTTAACAATAGTATTTTGTATTTTGATTGGCTATCACTTTATCAGTAAGGTTAAAATTTCAACTGATTAAATTTACTTGTTTATTCGTCTTGTACATTCGTAATTCGTATTCGCTTAAAATTCCAGAAGTTTAGAAGTGCACGATGTCTGAAAACACAAGAAGTTCGGCATTCAGAAAAATCGACGTCGATCAATTCAATGAAAATTTCAAAGAAGACGAACAACCGGAAAATCAATCGACAACTGCCATTCCAGATGAATCTGAAATTACAACGATGATTAATCAGTATCCTTTATTATTCATAATATTATGCAGGATTTCCTTTTTATTTTACTATGTTATAATAATTTAATGGAAAAAATAATGAAAACTAATACTCATTTTTTCATTAAATTCATAGATAAATGTTCCATTATTTTTAAGTCGTGTAACTACCTAGGTATTTTTATTATGTTTTTAGGATACTTAATTTGCTTAACTTTCAATCACTAAAATAGTACTATTTTACATTTTTACTTAGCTAAATTATAAAAGTGGTGCATTCGATGACCTAACTAAATAGTTTTTTAGCCTCTTTTATGATTACATCAGGTATAAATTAGTTTTACATGGTGCATCGTATAATTACATTGATATTTTAGGCTCGAGTGTAATTGTCTTGTGTAATAATTCAACTACAAGTAAAATTAACATTATAAACTTCAAATGTGTCATTTGTATGAGCTATACACATTTATAGAATATATTTATTATGTATGAATCAATACTAATTTTAAGATTTTCAATATTATGCTTGTCTAATTTTATACAAAATAATAATTATTTATTTTCAATAAGCGTGAAAAATACAATTCTTCTAAGCAAACTCTTAAAATTTTAATTCTTTCTAATATATCTCCGTTATAAAAATTAATGAATTTTTTAATAATATTACCATATAATATAGGAATTAGAAGTGTTAAAAGTTTAAAACATAATTTTAAACGCGCCATTCTGACAATTTGATAGAAATTTATATGCATAGGCATTTATATTTTTTTAAATTAAATAGATCTGTTGTGATTTGAAATTAATTATATTTTAATATTACTTAATTAAACACACAATTTGTTTACATTTTATTTTAAAATAGTTTTTTTTTCAATAATCTATAATGATATATTATATTATATACAGCCTTCTTGGCTTGTACTTTATGTTATAATAAAAAGCTACACTAGTATTTGTAAGTACTGATATTTACCTACCTACATTTAAATTATTACTAACTATTTAGTTAGGCGGTTGTATTGTGTATAACAATATTAGAATAGATAACTTTTTTTCTAGAGATATTTTTCTGAAATTTATCACAGTGGACAATATTTGTATACACAGTATATGGTGCAGGTGGCTCTGGGCTTCCACATAATGAGATCTTTTATATTCTAATATATTATAAAATTTATAACATTAGGTACAACATAAATCATCTTTTAGGGACTTTCAGTAGAGTATTAACAAACCTTTATATTGTTGGTAATTCGATATGCACAAGTTATAGGTAGTAATAACAAATTAAATTAAAAAAAATCTTAATATTGTTGAATATAATTAATTGTCTTACAGCTGTTGAAAGATATTTGATTTAGACAATGTTCTATATCTATTGGGTGTACTGTGCAACTGTGTGTGTATACTCTATTCAGTTTAAGTTGACCCACTCGTCAGACGAACACTGGTCATGGTAACGCATGTGTCTGATGTCGCATTACGGCTGCTGTCAACACCGATAGTAAATGACGATCGGCGATGGCAGCGACCAATCACGGAACACCATTCACCGACCAGGAGGAGTCAGACTGTTTTGGCTGCTCAGTATGCATGCGCGAAAGTGGGTCAACTTAAACTGAATAGAGTATAATAACACATCATAAGTGTGTGCATAGGCGCAAATGGTGTTTGGTGGGGGGGGTAGGAGGGGCTAAAGCATTACTTTGGTAATATTGAATAAGCTTAGCCCCAAAAGCCCCCCCCCTATTTGAGCCTAAGAGTGTTTGTGAGTTCTCCAAATGCTTTATATAATTATAGAGTATAGATAGATAAACTACATAGCGTACATATTATGCTCAGTTACACATCACTATATTTTGCAAACAAGTTTCAACTTCTGTGGATATGTAAGTCCCTAAAAGCAAAAGAAAATTTCCCCCAGGTACTGAAGCTTGATTTTAATTTTAAAAACATATTTTAGTTTCTTATTCTCTTTTATTAGTTTTGTAGGAATTGAATTTTCGATTTGTTGTATTGCTTATTTAGTATAGTATCAAATTAATTTTGTTTTTTTCAAAATGCACTTTTACTGTTATTAAAATGTTTAATATATTTTTTTGACTTTAAATTATTAAAAATCACTGACAAATAATCAAATACCACTTAAATATACTATTTATTTTTAAAGAATACCTAGGTAGGTTGGTACGTATTTTTAATATTGGGTAGTAATGTAATGTAAGTAACACAATACCTTAACAACTTTACTTTGTTTGTAACAGGTTACATAATTTTATTGTAATTCTACCCAAGTTTTTTACATTATTAGATAAAACATAGACGCATTTCCTAAAATATAACACTTGACCATCTCAAGTATCGATAGTTAAAATAATTTAAAAAAAAAATGTATCTAAAAATAATAACACAATAAATATTTTTTATCGCTTATAATTATGTATTTAGTTAATTTTAACTCATCACAATTAAATAGTTATCACTTTTTACAACATATTTACTTGTACCGTACTTTTATATTTATTTGTATTCACTTTTATTGATATATTCGTTCTTCCTAATTAATAAATATTATATCATTGGGATTTTAAACTAGTATTTTGTGCTAAGATTTTTTGACATATTACCTTGAGGCTTGAATAAGTAGTAAAAAGTTCTTAGTTACTTTTATTACTTATATTTGTACTTAATTTAATTATTTTTATTTTTTGAAGTGAATATTTTTCTTTAATATGTTGTTAGCAACTAAATTATTTGAGTTAATGATTATAATAAATAAAATAAAATTATGTACAGTAAACATATTAAAATCATTACAAAATACAATAGTAGTGATCGGATTAGTTTCAAATGGCTTAGGGTTCTATTGTATGATAAACATTTATATAAATTGTATAATATTATGTATGTATAGCACAGAACTTTTTATTTTTTTATTCTGCCAAAACAATTACAATTAAATTATTACAATAAACTAAATTAATAAAAGCTGATACGAATACCAACTGAGCTATAAGCTCGTATCTGGTATATGGAGTTCAACGATATTAAAATTTGTTTAAAGTAAATACTTATACAATAAAAATATGATATAATTAAATAAACATAACATGATAAAAAAACCTTAGAAACAAAAATGTACAACAGAATTACATATTATAGGTACATATTAATATATTATAAGATATTATGTTTAGACATATTAACTTTTTATGATTTTATTGATACACAAATTATCATCAAGATCACTAACTATTTTATTTATTGCCTTTTTTATTTGATTTTTATTAATTATTGGATTGACTTTCACATAAACTTTTTATTAGACTCTTTACTTCGTTATTTAAATTGTTGAAAATAGTTTTCCCGATGTAATTAGGAGAATTTCTGGAACTAGTTAATAAAGTATATGACAGTTTAATGTATTTTCCTGTTCTTCTGTCTATTATTTCTGTAGCATTGAGTATATAGTTGTGTATGGATTAACTAAATTTGTCTAATGTATAATTTATAAATAGATAATATATGAGTACGGTTGAATAATTCCTTTGATGGGTATTTTAAGTGTAGTGAGTATGCTACTTTTACAATCATTTTTTGTGTAGTATGCAATGTATTGATATCTGTTCTGTTGGTGCCTTCCCAACATGTTATGCCGTATAATAGTATCGAATTACACAGTGCCATGTAAATTTTTCTGATAATTGATTTATCAAGGAATCAAATTTTGTAAAATAATATAGTTAAGCTCCTCATTTTATTTTTGATATTATGTATATGTTCTGACCATTTTAAGGTAAAATCCATTGTCACCACTAAATATTTGAATGATCATACCATTTTAATTGGTTTGCAATTATAGTTTGTCATACCAGTAACATATTTATGTATTATAAATTTATATCGAACAGGTAACTGTGAATGTATAGTAACTATTGGCATGCAAACCGTTTTGTTTATGTTAAATGATAACTGATTATTTCCATCCAGTCATAGATATTCCGTAAATCGATTTCGACAGTATGTTTTAATTTTTCCCAATTATCTTCAAAATTAACTAGTGCTATGTCATCCGCAAATATGAATAATTTTCCTTTTAATAAAGATGCAGGTATAGAGTTAATATATATTAAAAACAATATAGGGCCTAATGATGTACCTTGAGTGACTCCATAATCTTTAACATAACAATGATTACTGTAATGAGGTCCGATAGTCGTGAGTTGTTGTCTGTTACTCAGGTAACTGGTAAACCATTTTAATGCATTGTAATCAAAGCCTAATTCTTTTAACTTGTTTAATAATAATTGTCTACTGATTAAATCAAATGCTTTTTCCAAGTCCAAGAATGAAATAAAAAATTTTTTTAGTATCCCTTTTGCTATGTAAATAGTTATTAATGTCGATTAAAGCGTCTTCTGTTCCTAATTTTTTTCTAAACCCGTATTGTCCACTAAATATTATTTTATCTCTCTCCAAGTATTCTAATAGTCGATTTTTAATTATTTTTTCAAGGATTTTAGCTAGAATTCCTACTATTGAAGTTTGTCTATAATTGGTGAAATCAGTTTTATATCCTTTTTTATGAATCGGTACGATTCTAGCTACTGTGTAGAACTTTGTAGATATTGTCCCTCACATTCATCAATACCAATATAAATTATATTTAATAGTATTTAATATTTATCTATATGACCATTATGATTTTTTTCGTTTTTATAGTGCAGTATAAATAATTATTGTATTTTTGAGATTTTCCTTAGTAATTTTTACAGAGGTCGTTTTGCTGATGCTTTAAAATCTGCATTGAAAAATGCACCTTTAGGATCAAAAAATCAACAATTAAGGGTATATTTTATAATCATACAATTTTATTTAAATTGATTATATATTATTGTTATTTATTTAGGACAATGCCTTAAATGTTGTAATGAAAGTTCTTCTGGCCACCAAACTATCTCAAATAGAAGAAGTTGTTGCTCAGTTAGATGTTGACATGGTAGATATTCTTATGAAGTATATTTACAAAGGATTTGAAAAGTCAACTGAGAAAAAAAGCAGTCATCTTCTTATGTGGCATGAAAAAGCCTATGCCATTGGCGGAGCTGGTAGTATAATCAGAGTGCTAACTGACCGCAAAAAAGTGTAATCTTACTAACAATTTATTTAATTTTTATTGAAACAATAACCGCGAAACATCAATATTATATTGTAACAATTGTATTTGGTACTACAT